AAAATAAGGTATCTTAACATCGGTTTGAAAACCTCACAGGTTTGGTACTCGATTATGAGTTAATACATATCTATAGAATGAATTCACATATACTACGTAACAATTATACATATCTTATACTAAAAATATACTAGAGATTTAATTCACATACGGAGTATTACGTACTTAATTTTTTAGGCAATGTTATAAAAGTGTTATACAGACTAGCTTTAGGTATTCCTCGGCTGCGCTCAAGAAGAGTACTAAAGCAGGGTTAATTGGATTGAGTTAATGATCTTAGGTTTAAATTGTTGGAAGAATGTGTTAAATTGCATTAAATGGTCAATTTGGGGCAATATTTTGAGTGGACTCCACTTTTGATTTGAGCCGGGCCAAAGTGATTTCGTATTGTTCTTGCTAAAGGCTACAATTCGATATATGATACGTAGTACATCAAAAACTGATAACGGGTGAATGCAAATTTTATTCTCGAAGTTCATTCATTGAAATGAAAAACCTAGGATATATAAATGATGAGTTTTTAGTGTGATACTCCGTATTTTCCACACATTGAAAAGTGCAAACTCAAGGGATTTTCAACCCCTTATAAAGGGTACCCTCTTTGTAAAAGTTAAATTCTTATGTGGAAAGGCTTTTCGCGCGCATGGGGTGCAGAGGCGGATCCAGCATTTTCAATCAAGTGGGGCCAAAATTTGATTAAACAACGTATATTGCAAAAAAAAGTCGAAACATAGTAAAATAGTACTAGTATGTTATTTAACAAAATTTATTTTCAAATACTGTGTATAAAATAAAATCTTTTGCAACATAAATGTTAAAGAAAAAAATAAATATAACAGGAATAAGACTTTTTGTTGAATACAAAAACACCTCAAATGCATACATAATAAACTAATTTTCACCTACCAAACCCAATGAATTGAACAAATTAATTTTTCAGACTAATATTCAAAAGCCCAATAGCGTTCACGATATTACTATTTAGCTCATTCACCGTTTGAGATTAGTGTTAAGCTAGTATTAACTAAACTTAGGAGACCAAGTTTAAATATATATGTTTGACGGAAAAATCCTTTTATTCTTCCAATGTGAGACAAATCGTTTTGAGAAGTAAAAAAAATGAAATGTTTACACATGCACTAAGCTCTACCATTATATTGAAAAGTTAAAAAGAAATGCTGCACCTGGGATTCGAACTAAGGACATGCAAGCCAACACGGTAGTATACTTCCATCCCGCTAATACGGAATTCATGTTTTTTTACTTTCTTTTTTATTATATCTTATTTAAGAGCACTACATATAGTACAATACATATATAAACTAGCAATTATTTTTGGCTAAAGGGTCAAATAGGCCCCTAAACGTAACCGAATTGCTCAATTGGCACCCCAAACCCAAATAAGCTCCAATCCAACCCACCAACCAAATAAACTTGTCCAAGCCCAACATCCAGCCGGTTACCTCCCCTTCGCCCCCCTTAAATGCCCAATCAGCAACTTATTCCTTATGATTAATGCTGACTCATTAATACACCCAACCCCCAAACGAAATTACTCCATTTCAAATTGCAGACCAAGGAAAGCGGACGACATAGAAAGACATGTCTGCGTCTTCTTCGTCTGCACTGGGAAGAAAAACGAGCTTGTACGAACCGAACTGTCTGTGTGGTGTGAAAGCTCGACTCTGTACAACCCGGGAAAGCGGACGCCAGTTTTATGGATGCCAAAGAAGGAAGGTAATAAGCTCTCAAATATTTAGGGGTTTTTCAGGGGGTGCGTGTAATGGTTGTGGAAGTTAGTAGAAATTTGGGCAAAATTGTTTGTAATTGTAAAACCTATATTTTTTGGAACTTGTATACTTGAAAAAAGGGTTGAAAAATGTGTTTACAGTTGCATGTATGTGATTGTGTGATTGTGACTGTAGGATGGGTTAGGGTGTGGATATTTTCTATGGAAAGAGGATGTAGCCGGTTTCCATGAAGACAATGGAGCATACATGGGTGTTACTGGGAGATTGGAAGCCTCAATTCAAGAGCTGAACAGGGTTATGCTTGTTATGTGCAACATGATATACAGAGCATCAAAATGGTTCTTGAAACTGAAGCTAAGGAGAAGATATTCTGGAAGAGAATGTGGCAAGGACTTGTGATATTTGTGGTTGTAGCAGTTCTTGTTAAGAAATTGTAAAAGTTTGGATTTGTGTGCTAAGTATTGTCCTGTTCTTCTTAATTTCAGAATACTCAATCTAGTTTCTACCCATTGTTAGATGTAGTTTTGTCTTCTGGTTGAATGAACCAACGAGAGTTAATGATTGTTACCCAATGTAAAACTTTGGAGTTAATGAATCAACTCAATGTACTTGGTCTGGTTCAATGTAGTTGTTACCTATAATTGAAGTTCAGTAATGTTGTTAATGATGATTGAAGCTTTTTTATAATCCAGCTTCTTATTGTGTTGCCTTATTATGTAGTTATGAATTATAGAACTTAAGAAGTGTACCTAAAATGCAAACCAACGGCCATACACAACCCATGTGAAGAAGCAGCTTTACATAAAGGGTATGGACCCAAAAGCAAAAACCAATAATGCACAAAAGATTCCCATGTCACTCAAAAGACCACCCCACCTCATGTACCTGTCTGCTTCAAATAACCAAAGACCACCCCACCTTTAATAGTATTTCAGGAAATCAATAATACACTATAACCCACATCCTACCACAAACCAAAAAGCATATCCAAGACCCCACCTACTAAACCCATCAGTACAGATCCGAACATATAAGCCACACCCTACCACAAACCTATAATTCATGTCCAAGACCCCACCTTCCCAACCTATCAGTTTAAGCAACACCCAACCCACACAACCAAAAAGCATATGCAAGGCCCCACATTTGCAATTACAAACTGAAGTATAAAGAAGAAGAATGCATACTCAGTAATTCATAGCATTTGAACAACACCCAAGAGTACAGATCCGAATAATTAAGTACTTTGACAACCAACTATTACATAGACAAAAACATTAAAAAACATACATTAATCCACATAACATAAACCCCAAAAAACCCCAGCCACCTAAATGCAGTACCTCAAGTGTTATGACCCAAAAGCCATAAAGGCCAACCAACCATAATTAAGTACTACTTTTACATTTCATAATTCATACACCTAACACATTTGTTATACTACCTCCTCATCCCCCCCACAATGGATTCAGTTCTTCCACCCCTTCCTCTTCCAGCTCTGCCACCCCTTCCACCTCTTCCACCTCTTCCACCCCTTCCTCTTGCAGATCTTGAAGTCGAAGTAGCTTCACTTGTTCCACCTGTTGAAGCAGTTTGACCTCTTCCACCTCTTCCACCTCTTCCACTCCTTCTTCCACCTCTATAACCCCTGCCTCCTCTCACTGACTGATGACTGCCTTGTGGAGCTGTTGGACACACATGTTTTTGATGGCCCTTTTGCTTACAATGGGAACATGTCATGACCCTTCCCTTTCTTGACAGCTTGCCAGCTGGAGGCTCAGATTCCTCCCGGGTTCTTTTCTTCTTTGGGCGTCCAGTCATTTTTTTGGGTGCAGGGGGGTGTATTTTCTCTCCTTCTACTCTAGGCCAAGCCATTTCCCCATTAATGGGTTCTAAAGTGTAGGAATAAGTTCGTTTGAAGGCAGCAATTGAATAACAATCATCAATATAACTTTCTGGATCCTTGTCCTGATCAAACATTGCACATATAGCATGCTGGCATGGAATTCCAGTCAACTCCCAAGATCTACAAGAGCAAGTGCCTCCTTCCAGCTTTACCTTGTATTGATACTTCCCTTTCTTAACCTCATAGCCATCATCTCCATTGAATACCACCCTCCACTTTGAGCTTCTCAATATGTTAGTATTCAGAATTTTCTTGATGTTAGGGCAAATCCTACCTTTCCATTTTGCAGCTAGATCTCTCTTTTTAGCAATTCTCTGCATCATTTGAACCCGTATGTCTTCTAGCATGGGAATGATAGGTTTGCTCCTACACCCCACCAGTGTTCGGTTAAAAGCCTCTGACATGTTGTTGTCAACTGCATCACATTTTACAGAAGTCCTAATGAAGGCTTTGCACCAGGTTTTGAAAGGATAATTTTCCAGATCTTGTTTGGCTGCAACATCCTTTTTTTGAAGCTCTTGAAGCCACTCTTGAAGTTGTGACTCACATGTGGACCTAGCACACATCCAGAACAACTGCTTCGTGTATTTCCCTCTGTGATTCTTGCTCCAGTTTGCATGTATGTGCCTTGCACAATTTCTGTGCTCAGCTTGAGGGAGTAAGGTCTGGATGACATTGGTAAGACCCTGCTCAAGACTCAGTAAAGTAAGTTCAACATCTAATTCAGTGAGTTTCCTTATAATATACTTCATTATTTATTACCTCAAGTACTACTATTTACTACCATTTCATTGATTCAGTTTAGTATAAATGAATAGGAAGTACTTATTTAGAAATTAGTAACCACTACTCAGTATAATAGGTAAACACTTAAGAGTACTTATTCATGTAACTACTACCATTTAGTACACATTAAGTATAAGTACTACTAAGTAATTGGAAGCACTTATTCATTAAGTATAAGTAATTGGAAGCACTTATTCATTCAGTAGTTAACCATTTTAGTAGTACTTAGTCTAAAGTAATTTGAAGACAGTAAATACTTATTAAGAAGTAATACCTAAGAATACTACTTATTTATTTAGTATGACTTCACTTAGTAATTGAGTTACTATTTCAGTTTACAACAAAAACAAACCAGTAAGTAGAAGTATTACTATAAAGTGAAGCTAAAATACCTTTTGTTGATCACTTATTACAGTCCAGGGGCTGCTATCATCAATTTCCAGATCATGCTTCAACAACTCTATAAACCATGCCCATGAAGATGTATTCTCAATCTCAACTATGGCCCATGCTATTGGATACATGTTGTTGTTGGCATCCCTTCCAACAGCTGTAATTAAGGATTTCCCCCTTCAAAAGTCCTTTTAAGAAGCAACCATCTAACCCAACAATCTTTCTGCAGCCTTCTAAAAATCCCCTTTTCATGGCACCAAAGCAGCAATAGATCCTCTGAAACATACAAGGGCCATCATCAACAACTCTGGATGTCATTATCTTCATGGTAGTGTTTGGGATAGAATCAAGCAACTCTTGACCGTAGTCTCTAAGGCGGTTAAATTGCTCTTCAAAGCTAGCATTTATTCTCTTTTTGATGCATCTCACAGCCCTCCTGACCATGCTTGTTGAAATATGAATGCCCAATTCTGTCTCAATGAGGTCTTTTAATGCCACATACCCAATACAAGGATCATCCCTAACCTTGTCTTCGTATTTCTCTTGTATCCATTTTTGACTAACAACTCTCAGCTTGAACTTGGAATTGCATCTGTGATTGGTGATCATGGTTTTCAATTGGAAGCATTTGAACCTATCTTCCCAGCCGGCATAAAAGCAGAAGGGGCAGTTTTTTTGAATGCATAGTGCCCGGACTCTTTTAGATTCATTCCTCTTAAAGTAAATGTTTTTCTTGTGGTGCACTGCATACCTAATCATTGCACTCTTAAACTGTATGTTGTCCTCAAACAGCATCCCCAGCTCAATCAAAGGGGGTTCAATCTCTGGATTGTATGAGGGATGATAATCGTCCAGGTTGGATTGCACTTCATGTTCATGCACATCATTGGTATCTGAATGATAACTGGGAGGATTATCAGAATCATACATGTCCATGTTATCCTCATTGTCTTCATCATTCTCAGATCCAAAGTTGGCATTGTTGTTCTCCCTACTTTCCATACCTTCCTCAGCCCCGAAGAAGCCAATATTCTGCTCCCTAACATCTTCATTCTCAGATTGTGATCCAAGGTCAGACCCTATATCAGACATAGAAGAATCCTCTTGGTTCCCCAAATCTACTTCATCATCCATGATATCTTCCATTTCACTTGTCTGAATGTCCACATCACACAACTCAACATCTTCTTCAGCAACAGACTCAATCTGTGAAGCTTTGTTTGTTCTTGGTTTTAACTTGCTTCTATGTGTAGGTCTGGCTACATCATCAATAGAGCTCTGCACTTGTACTTCATAGTTTTGACCACCTACTTCCTTTTCACCTAAAGGGCCAACATCACCACGTACAGCAGATGTGGAGGGTGGCAGCAAATACAGTTCACAAACTCCATCAGTAGAAGACAGACTCACCAACTGCAATGTGGAAGCATCATCTACTAACTCCCTTAAACATTCCAATGGTTCACGAGGCAATTTATACATCAGCTTTCCAAACCCCCCAAATGGTCCAGATTCTATAAACTTTTTCAGATGTGGATAACTGACTACATCAGGGTCACTTTTAATAATCTCTACGCAGCCATTGCTATACTTCATAGGAGAACAGGATTCAAGAGTGCCACCATAGTTCAAAATTAAATCCAATGTCTCCCACATTCTGAAACAACGACCAATGAAGTACTCAGCAAACAAGTATGAAAAACATAACACAAACAAGTACCAATTCACTACTTAGCAAACTAGATGGAAAGTGTAACACTTTAAACACATACCAAAACTCTACACAGACACTATAAACACACTTTTGTAGGCAGCGAAAATTACTTCATAACACACTATTACAGACACAAAAGTACAATAGGAATCAATAAGGAATAACCTCACTCACTTCGTTCACCTTAACGGCTTCAACGCTTGGGCTTTAGGGCACGTCTTCTTCCTCTCTTCCTCTTCGCGCTCAACACTTCACTCACTCACGTCCTCTGCAATTTTTGATTTCCAATTTAGGGCTATTTGGTTAGCAGTCTTCAGCGTTAAGTGAATTGGGGGTCTTTTTTTTTTACACGTAACTGGGTTGGGGTTGGGTGTATTAATGAGTCAGCATTAATCATAAGGAATAACTTGCTGATTGGGCATTTAAGGGGGGCGAAGGGGAGGTAACCGGCTGGATGTTGGGCTTGGACAAGTTTATTTGGTTGGTGGGTTGGATTGGAGCTTATTTGGGTTTGGGGTGCCAATTGAGCAATTCGGTTACGTTTAGGGGCCTATTTGACCCTTTAGCCTTTTTTTTTTTTAGGTTGGGCCTAGACCCTACCTGGACCATAGCCAAATCCGCCCCTGATGGGGTGTCAATCAAATCCCGAAAACAGAGTCGGGATAATTGCACATACATGTTTAAACGCCATAACAAATCAGATTATATTGTTTAAAATATATCGTCTTTTAGAATAGATAGATAAAACTTGAGATCAACTCGATTATGTCAATGACAAGTCGAGTCAAGTCATATATATTTCGACTCAATTGAAACTCGATTTGAACTCGAACTCATGACTCGATGTAAGCTGAACTCGTGCTCGACTCGCTTTATTAGTATTTTCAAATGATACAAGTTAAATTTGCATAATTGCATGCTTAGTTATATATATGCATATATAAATTTGCATTATGCTAGCGAAGACCAGAAATCTGGAATACGATTATACGAATTCGCTGTGCGTGGGTGGACTGTTCAATTAATTGATAATGTGCACTAAGTTGTAGATTTGAACCCTACGTTAGGGTACATCCTTTTGGATTACTAACTTGTCTTTCCCCATTTGTACTCTAAATTGTAGGGTACGCCCAACACTATGCGACTGACTTTACACACTAAACGAGGCTGCTGGGTCCTACCGGTGGCCGTTTCATGTTTGAGAATCCTTTCCTACAGTACATAGTTTATTGGGCTGCTCGATCTTTGACTTGTTTATTTCCAACCCAACGTCCTCCTTGCTTGCTAAGCAAGAATCTTTGACTTCTATGGTCACTTTCTTTTACTCCGTACGTACTATCCTATGTTACGAATGAAAACTCATTTGCTAAGCAATAATCTTTTAATTCCCCCACAATAATGAGAAAGTTTTATTCCTGCTATGTGACAAACTGGGCTGTCAATACGGGCTCTTGTTATGTTATCTCATGTTTAATTAATTTGTGGGTAGAAACGTTTAGTATGTTATCGAATACCCTGTGAACAATACTCATCATATCATACACTACAAAGAGTCAAAGATATTTTTTTGGGGGATGAAAGCACATTTTTCGTCCTTCAAATGGTCCTTATATTGAAATGTAGTCCATGTGTTTCCAAGTGTCTAAATGTCACCATTCAATTGTTTGGATACATGTGAATGTGGCACTCAGCCCCATTGTAAATCTCACCCGGCAAAGACTACATGCATTTATATCAATTTGTACAATTGAGGGGTGATATTTATAAATTTTAAAGCACGGGGCCTACATTTCAATATGAATACTATTTGATTGATTTGAAAGTGTGATTTCCCCTTTTTCTTTTTAAAAACTTTCACGTAAAAACAAATAATTTTTCTTTTATTCAATTCTTTACAATTTGGTCAAGTTTAATTTATTGGTACTTCAAAAAAATATCGTGTGATTTGTGTTTATACAAAGAGAAGAGAAATAATACTAAAGATGTTTTAACTAGACTGGTTTTAATTCCAAACTGATTAGATCAAATTTAAACAAACCTGATCATATCAAAGTATTAGAACCGACTTAAAAAAAATCAGTCCAAATATAAACATCATCATTGTGAATCAGCTACTTTGAAAGAAAATCCAAATTCTGTGGACATTGCATCTAAATTAAAAGAAGCAAGCAAAACGTAGAGTGTGGAAGACGTATTTGTTTATATGAATTGAAAACGTATATGATGTAATATACGTACACTCACACATGTAGGAAACTAGGAAAGTATTATAGTCTCTATATAGAGTAAAAATTTTAGCAAGTTGGTAAGGGGAGGAAATGTGTTCAGTATCAGCTAGTATGATATAATTATATTACTTGAATCATGTTGAGAGATATCGTTTGTCAAGCATGACAATTCCCTAGATGAAAATAAAACTTAAAATCACATAATTGTTTGAAGCTAGCAATTGGTGTCGAGGAATATATCACCCGTGCCCAAACAAAATGAGAATCCAACTATCAATGTACAATATATCTAAGGTGACAACTCCGGTACCCATTTAAAAAATGGGGTACCGTACCTACCATGCATTTGATTGGTCAAAATCATTAAATCCCTTTTAATTTAGATTTAAATAATTCAACTGCATGATTCTGATTGATCCATGTGGACAAAGGTACGGTACCTTATGGGTACCATAGAATCTACCTATATTTAATCCAAATATGTAAATACAGTATTTACATTTAAAAAATGGGGGTACCGTACCTACCAATATTTATACGTAAAATACATTATTATTAATGTGAGATTTACAACTTTTACTTAAAACTTTTGATTGTGTCTGTATTTAATTCTATATCATTTCTCGCTTAGAGATTTGATTTTCTAACGAATTAATAAATCTTTACAATTTAAGAACATTTTCGTAGAAAATTGTTGTACATTTTTCCACAAAGTATCCTAGAAAAGACGTCACTCACATTGAAATTTCTACCAGAAAGTGTCAATGAAAAAGTCCTTACATTAAACAATCTTATTAGCTAAATAACCAGATATACAATTAAACAACTAAAGTTAACAGACTAATAATGGGTACAATCAAAAGTTAGGAGATTAAAGTTACAAATCTCCCTATTTGTAACTAATGTCATTAATTTAATCTGTCATTGTGTTTGAATTATTATATTATAAACTTCAATGATATATGAAATTATGATATACTACGTACATATATATGACTAAATAAATAAAAATAAATAAAGGAGTGTGTTTATTAATTACAATTCTGGGTAGAAATATCAAAAGGAATATACATGACTAAAATAAATATACTGAGTAATAGATAACGATGTGGCTCGTAATACACATGAGGTGACACTGAAAATTGAAAATTAGGATGTTTTTACTTGGACGTACTATTTAAGTCTGAGACCAGACAAGACTAGACCATACTGAACCTGATCTGACCAGATCAGATCACTAGATCAGACTTGGACAGTTATATAATACACAGAAACCGGACATTTATCAGATCAGAACAGACAAGTTCAAATCAGATCGGACGAGAAAGTTCAGACCACGTAAAAACATTCTTAATGGTCATATTCAGACTTTCCGCATGTTTTTAATCCACTTTGGTCATTCTCTCATTTTACGTTTAAATTTATTTGTAGTTCCTTTAATTTGTAAATATATATATGACACTTTATTTTAGGTCCCTGCAAATAATATATTTTTTTCATCCCTGTAACATGCACTATTTTGGTTTTAGTCTATCTCTAACTCCAAAACTACTCTACCTATAAAAAAATTATTATCGGTTGCATTAATAAATCTACTAGATACTTGTAAATTTATTTTTTATAATTTTTTAAAGACTAATATGCTACTTAAAACAATGTGAACTTAATTACTCACATTTTTAAAACATGTATTAAAAATCTTCTACAAAATAAAATCGAATAAAATCAAATACTTTTTGAATAACATGACAAAGAATTAAAGGAAACCTATCAGTGTAGGTTGTTTAATTGTGAAATGAATTTTGTTATCATCGGTGAAAGGCTAAAAACAAAACCAACATATATTTCAAGGATGAAAAACAAAAAAACATGTAGGGATGTAAAACAAAATGTACTATATTTGTAGGGACTAAAAACATATTTAAACCTTTGTATTACAGTAGGATATAAGGAGTATTAATAACTAATGTCATCCTTTTTGTTATGGATGATGTAATTATTGTTAACTATCCACTAACACTGCAAACAAGTACGAAGTATTAAGATGTTTTTTTTGGTCTGTTTTCAGTCCTAGACCAGACCAGATCAGACCAGACTTCCGTAGTTATAAAATACACAGAGATCAGATGTTTAACAGATCAGGCCAGACCAGTTCAGACCAGATCAGATCAGACCAGACCAGCAAATTTCAGTCCAAAAGAAAATATCCTTCATCATGCAACTAAATTGAGCTAGTCAAATTAAACCAGAAATTAAAGAATGATAATTAAAGCCTGCACCAATTATTATGTTAGCCGGTTTAACATATTTGTATTAAATATAGGTAGATTCTATGGTACCCATAAGGTACCGTACCTTTGTCCACATGGATCAATCAGAATCATGCAGTTGAATTATTTAAATCTAAATTAAAAGGGATTTAATGATTTGGACCAATCAAATGCATGGTAGGTACGGTACCCCATTTTTTAAATTACTCCAGTTATTAGAGGTAAAATCATACTACGTACATCATTGTTAAAAAAAATCTTTTTTGAAGTTTGTCGTTAACAGCACATGTGTCTTCCTATCTCTTTCCTTTAGACTATGTCCCTTCTTTAATTTGTACCCAGATTTGAAGTGATTATGTCTGGCACTTTATAAAGTCCACGCCACAATGCACACACTAAATATATATATAAATATATAAAATTGAAAAAGGATCGTATTTATAAATATTATAAAATTATTAAAAGAATTACACATTATAATTCTAACTTTTAATTTGAAATATAAAATGTGGAGATTAAAACTTCTCATTTGTGAATGAGTTCTCATACGAATCGTTCCCAGTATATGTAAGGATATTTGTTATTTTAGTCTCTTAATTTATGATTAATTATATCTGCTATCAGTTTTATAAAATGGTAGATTCTATGATAGGGAAAAGGAACGTATATAACCTTGCACTATTAGTGTGGGAACATATCTACTCTTATTATTTTTTTTGGAACAAAAAACTGAATATGCTGAAATTGGGGTACTACCCTTCCCTAACATTTTTAAAACTCTTTCGTCGGATCTAATATTACTTCCGTGAGAATTGGGAGTCATCCTTCTTTCTTCTCTATCGTATAGGAGCAGCTCTTCTCTATAGCAAGTAGCTAGAAACACCCTGATTTAAGCTCCTCTGTTTTAATGTCTTCTATTTTCATCCTCGATTGTGTCCAGTAGATCTGTAAAGCCAGGCTGGTAACCTAAGTCACAAGGCTAAATGAAAAAACTCATTATGACCAGGCCATAGTTCTTGTTGATTCACTACCATAAGCCTTGTTTTTTAAGAATCTGGTAAGCGGATATACACGAGCAATATTCAAACGAAAACAAAATTTCTTTAATTTGTATTTTTCACACTTCTTAATGACTTAATCTAAATTAACATATTGTAAGGTGCTTTGAATATGTCTATAGATGGGTGAGAGTTTTAATTTAGCAAATATCAACCCTAGGTTAGGGTCCCTAACTTAAAACAGCCAACCATAATTTAGAACATATTCACTCAATCCAAATTAGAATATTTGATCCATATATTTAACCTAGTACACCTAATACTCACCTATGATTTAATGCCTAAACGAAGAGTTCGAGTTAGCTCTTCAGTTCTGACGTTTTTGTTCGTAACTTTGTTTCTCTGCTATTTCTATGAAGAGGCACAATAGTCTAGATTAAGCTTGAGCCTTTTGTGAATTGATGGAATATCGTAATAGTTTAAATGAACCGTTAGGGAAGGTGTAGATTTAGACCAAATATTTAATTTTTGAAGTTTTTTTATCCAAAGAATAGAACAAGGGTATATATGTACTCATACCTAGAGTATAAGGGTATATTTGTTCCATTTCTCTTCTATAATATCCGAAAGGTACCATACATTTGTCCATATGGACCAGAATATTGCAGTTGAATTATTTAAGTCTAAATTAAAAATGATATGCCTATTTGGACCAATCAAGTGAATAGTAGGTATGATACCCCATTTTTAAATGGGCACTGGAGTTCTCACCTTATAAAATTACCAATTGCATATCTAGTGATACGGTCTTTTAAATAATAAACTTGTATATGTTCAGGACTTTTTGTTACTGCTCTCTCTGTTTCTAAATGAATCTCATAATTTGACTTTTGCCGTCTCTTAGGAGTATAACATATTGACATTTGAATAATACATATTATAATGAAGTACATTAAATAACTTTTTTGGGATGAAATATTACTCCCTCCGTCCGCTAAGATTGTACCATTTTACCTTTTCAGCTCGTCTCACTAAGATTGTCTCATACCAAACTTAATACAGTTTGCGTGACTCTAAATAATTATTATTTTATTCTTACTTTATCAATTCAATACGGAGTATCAACTACATAAACCACTTTTTATTGGTTTGTGTGACACTCCCTCATGTCTCATTGTTAGTAGAATGGAGAGAGTATTAATTTTGAGTAATAAACGATCAAAGTTTAACAAGTTTGACTCAAAAAGTCAAACTGTGACTTTGATTTAGAAACGGAGGGGATAAAAATACCGTTCTCGCTAAATAAATAGACGAGGCATGTCGACAGAGGTGTCGATTTTTCAGCCAAAATAAGTATATATCCCTACTAATATGGATGAATGGAACAATTTTTTAGTTTTGTATCTGAACAAATGTATTAATTACATGACTAAATTTGAGTAAAGTTACAGAATTAGAATTAAGCACATGCATAATTTGGACTAAAACTTTTGCTTATATATCAACATAAATGCCACGAGACCCAAGGCAATTTTAACCAAGCTAATATGCTATTTACATTTTACACATTAACAATCTTTAAATCGTAAGTCTCATGCTCGAGATTATTCCCATGAAAGTAGGAATAAATTATGAGCATTAGAATTATGATCTACTAGTGGTTCTAAATACGGAGTATATAATAATGCATTTACGTACCCATTAACAGTCTTTAATTCTTAAATGTCATGCTCGAGATTATTCCAATGAAAAGTAAAAATAAACCTAGAGTATTGGATTTATGATCTAATGAGTACAAATATAAAAAAAATGTATTAAAATTGATGAAAATGTGGGAAGATTTTTGTAAATAAATGAAGAGAATATTACCCGAAATAGGACTAAAATGTTTGAAAATTTTAAAATAGGACTGACATGTTTTTATTCCGAAAATATGACCTATTACTGCCATGTTTTGGCAGTACCAGACTTCAAACATGACAATACTTTTCAAACTTGGTAGTAATTACTCATACTTCGGGAATAAAAACATGACAGTCCTATTATTGAATTTTCAAATTATTTTAGTCCTATTTCAGAAACTTTCCCAAAAATGAGATATTGCAAAAGTGTACTTACACTATGTAACAATATAATCTATCCTCTGCACATCAAATGATAAAAAGTGAAGTCATTCACATTTTATATGTGAATATAAGTTTTATAGAACCTAACTATATATATACACGATAATAAATACAGTCCCTAAACTATTTTCCAAATTAAATTTCTTTTTCATTTTTGGGCTTTTTAGCATTTCTTAGGCATTTTCACGCATTTCTTTCTTTCTCTACCCAACCCCCAGCATACAGTATAATGGTCACTTGCTAAATTCACGTTTTAAACCCACCATAGAAAATAATTTAGGAAAACAATTTATGGAGAGTAGAGTACTACATATTGGCTAAAAAAGTAGTCCAATCAAACACTAAAGTGGATTTATTAATTATTACCAATAAATATCCTTGCAAGTTGCAACGTACGTGCACCAGTAGGTAAACCCTAAAGTAGGCGACGCCCTTATATATACACACATGGAACATCACACACCACTCCCAAATCAGCTCCTTCACTACTTTTACATCACTCACTATACCACTACATCTCACAAATTCAATTACTAGAAAATACACGCCGGCCGGCCGGACCGCCGGATTATATATATGGAACCAAGCAATTTTCCGGTGATATCGAAAAAGTTTTGGAGATTCGTGATGACAGCTCTGCTGATGCTAAAGAAGGGCATGGCCCTGTCCAAGACCAAGCTCATGCTTGATCTCAGCCTCTTAATGCAGCGCGGAAAGCTCGCCGGAAAAGCCGCCATCCACAGCCTCATGCTCATCCACCACTCCCGTCACCACCTCAATCTCTCCTCCTCCGCCGCCGTTCAGCTTCCCGAGGAGTACTACGAGTTCAGCTGCAGCAATAGCCCCGCGTACCACGGCGGCGGTGGTGGCTTCCACCTCCCTTTCCCGCTCGGCAAGAAGAGCAAGAACCGCCACGCCGCCGCCACTTTCGAAGATATTGTTGCGGCCAACGCCGTCGTTAAGGCTCTTGAAATCCTTCACACGGAGACTCCGTCGCCGGCTCTTCCCGGGTTCGGCAGGACTCCGGTGGTGCGGCAGCTGAGGATCACCGACTCACCGTTTCCGGTGAAGGATGGGGACGAGAGCGGCGGGCAAGTTGATAGAGCCGCCGAGGATTTCATTTCGCAATTCTACAGGTCCTTGAGGCGACAATCCAATGATGATTAAAATAAAATTCTTTTCCACCGAGTTTAATTTGTATTTACCCATAAGGGAGATTTACGATTTTTGGCTCCTAATTACTTTTGACTACGCCTATTTTTGATTCGGTAATTTTATTCGCTTGGGTAATTTGTCTTGTAATTATTCGGTAGTAGATTTATATACTCGCAACTTAAAAATCTTTCCACTTTCCTTTTTCGTCCGTTACACAAAAATCTTCTCATTTCTAAATCTTCTCATCATACCCTCAATAATTCTTAAAATAATACACTATTACAACTATTTTTTTTTAGATTTATCCTACATTCCACCACATTATTCCACTATTTTCCCATCATACCCTCAATAATTCATATCATCTTTCACTATTCTTAATCTACCTACTTTTGAAATGGGAAGATTTTAAAGTTACGGAGGGAGTATATTGATGAAAACGGTTAGCAACACAAGAGGGGGGTGAATTGTGTGTGTGTGGAACCGTGGCAGTTTTTCGCCGAGTTCTAGTGTGGGATAAAGGGAATTGCGAAATAGTAAAGTGCACAAGAATTTAACGAGGAAAAATCCCTTGGCTCAAAGGGATTAAAAAACCTCGACCTCCCTCGGAGGAATTTTAAACAACTTCACTAAACAAGCCTTTGAAAGAGTTACAAGAGTGATTCTCCTAATCTACCCTTGAGCCTCCCCAACTCTATCCTCTCTAGGAAGAGTTATGCATCTCTACCTTGCGGGTAGAGAGCCTCTCAGCTTTGTCACAAAGCTCTCACACACACTTAACCCGAGGCAGCTACTCTAGCTAATTAAGCCTCAATAATCCAAGTACAATATGAAAGGGAAAAGAGAAACTCTATCTAGAACTCCGAGCGGGCAGTTTCAGGCGCCAAGGACTTGATCCTTTTCTTGAATGATTCTTCTCAGTATTTTTCTCGGTTCAGCACGCTCCCCTTCTTGTTATACTGCTCGAATATATAGGCTCTCTCTCAAAATGAATCCGTTGGCCCCTTCCATGTATTGATAATTCTTGCCATGTTGTATTTGAATGACTTTCCATCTTGAGAATTATCTTAATAACCTCACGCCCAAGAATGATGCTACTAAGATATTTTATTCTCTTAACATATTTGACCAAGCAACGAATTAATCAATAATATCTCATGCCCAAATAATACTTTTAAGTATGACCGCATCTTTAAGATGGTACATAAATAGTTACCATATTGAGTGTACTGACACCTTTATATAAAGCAAGATTTTAATACTAGCAAGAGTACTTATTTTAATTCTTAGCAAAAAGACCCTTTTAAAAATACTTAGCATGTTTAAATGGGCTTCGACCAGTCAAGTTCAAATGCAGCAATAATGTTGAAAAGATACTTTTACAAAAGTTACGGAGTATATGTTTAATTAAGTAATTACGTATGGAAAGGTGTTTGCTTTCCAGGCTGCTTGCATGGTATTTGTATTCACGTGTAGAACTGCTTTGTAGCGCATAGCAGTTCTAACTAATCTACCTGCATGGTTAGTTCATCAACAAGAAACTCACAAGTGTTTATAGACCAGGTCTATGCTTTGTTCTTGCACAGTTAGTCATCAACAAAACAACATATTCAACAAATTCCCCCTTTTTGTTGATGACAAACATTAGGTGCCATAATAAAGGTGTCCCTGCAGATTAGTATTAAGCATAAATAGTAGAGAAATCAACACATAAAGGGGCACCCGCTCTTTCCCCCTTTTGTCATTCAACAAAAGGAATCAAAATATTTCCCAAATCAAGACACTTAATTGTTCCCCCTTAGAAGTTGCCGGAAGGTCCTGCATGCCCTCTCCGCGACCAGAAAAAGAGATTAGTAACTGAGATTAGGAAATAAGAAGTAGAACGAATAAGTTAGGAATTAATTAGACCGAGTTCCAGTCTAATTATTTCAAACCTTTCTCTTCCCATGGGCTTTGTAAAAATGTCGGCAATTTGCTTGTCGGTGTTGCAATACTCGAGCCTGACTAGTCCCTTTTCCACACAATCTCTCAGAAAGTGATGTCGTATATGAATATGTTTTGTCCGAGAATGCATGACCGGGTCCTTTGATATGCTTATTGCACTTGTATTATCGCATAGGATGGGCGTGCACTTTAAATCAACCCCGTAATCGCTTACTTGTTGCATGATCCACAATGATTGAGAGCAACAAGATGCGGCTGCTACATACTCAGCTTCGGCTGTTGAAAGAGCAACTGAATTTTGTTTCTTTGAGCTCCAAGAAACTAGACAGGGACCTAGGAAGTGAGCCGTTCCAGACGTACTCTTTCTATTTAGCAAATCACCTGCAAAATCAGAGTCTGAATATGCAATAAGGTTAAAATCATCATTACGAGGATACCATAAACATAGATTAGTAGTTCCTTTGAGATATTTGAGGATCCTTTTCACAGCCTTGAGGTGAGATTCTTTGGGATTGGCCTGGAACCGAGCACATAGACCTACTGTAACACCGTCCCCAAATATATTTACTTTTATGTAAATAATGTATTGAACCTTATTAAAGGGATTAATGAATTTACGAAGTTGTAAATTTTTATTATTTCTTTCGCGTGAATAGTAAATTGCACGTGGGACCCACACCGGGAGCGGGGGCCGCCCGATACTCCCGAGACCACATATTTTATTCATCTTGGTCAAGATAATATTTATATAGTGGTGGATATTTTATTTGGGTCGTGGAAAGGCCCGGAGTTGACCGATTGGTCAAAAGAAGCCCAAATTACCGGTACTGGTAATTTAACAGATAACAGCCCGAACTGGATTTCGGAGACTTATAAATTAAAGTTGGGGAATGTATATTCATGATACATGTCATAATGAGTAAGAGCCCATAATATATTTTATTTGACCCGATAGAATAAAATATGTTTAAAACAGTCCGAAAAATACAACTTTCGGGACCGATTGTACACATCGGGACACAAAGGGATGACCTCCCACATGAGTGGGGGCCACCCCACGAATTTGTCAACCTTTAGGGGCTGGATGAGTGCTAGATGGGCTGAATAAACATTGATAGGATGGGGGAGACACCCTTTGACATTTAGTAGACCCCATTCCTACACTCATTTGTCCAAAGGAGACAAAAACCACACCCCTCACTCACCACCCCTATCACACTCGGCCAAGACCCAAAGGAGAAGAGAGAGGAAGCTCTGCAACTCCATTTTCCATAGGTGAACACGAGCTCAAACTCAAACAAGGAAAAAGAGGGAGTTTAAAGAAGGAAAAAGGCTAAGAAAGGTGTGTAGAATTAAGGTAATGACCTTATTATAACTTTTTCTTTATTTTTCTTCTACCATATGAGATATATATCATGTGAAGAATCCTTAAGAGGGTTCTACATGTTATAAGTATGGATTAATGGGTTGGAAAAGGATTCTATGTCCAAGAACGGACTTAGAAGCCAAAACGACCGGTTCACCGGAAAATAACCTTTTAGAGGTTATTGTATTAATATGAGTTTTATGATTATAAAACCTTGTTAGGAACTTGTAAGGGGTATTTCAAGTGATTTCACAAAGTTGGAAAAGTCGCCGGAGTTGTCGCCGGAGTTGACCAAAAGTCGCCGGAGTTTCACCGGAGTTCAACCGAGAAGGGTAGAACTTCATAACGCTAGTTCGAGGTGAGTGGACGGCTTAATATCTTATAACTTTTGGGTTAATTATGAGATTACCTAAATAAATGTTATATGATTTCATAATGATGTTTAAAAGATATTTAAACATGTGATTAGTCAATAGGGTTAAGTTTGTATGAAAGAAATTAATTGTTGATGCATGGAATATGATATGAAGAATTATATGAAATGCATATTTGTTTGAAGTGTATTAGAAGCACAAATGGATATTACTAACTTAATTATATGATGATTAAGTTGATATACACAAGGCATGAAATGGCGGTCAACGAAAACGTGGACCGAAGAACAAAGGATTTAATTAATACCGGTTGGTATTAATTAATTATAAACCTATATAAATGCATGGCTTTGCATGGATTGTGATACATAAGATTTATGTATTGGATTAGTTATGAGTAACTAAGAATGATATAGACTCTATCTAGGTTGATAGGAGGTTGATCATAGGAAAACTTGGTGGAGGACCCTAGTACTTAAAAGGTACTTAACACTCAAAATTTGGTGGAGGACCCTAGTACTTAAAAAGTACTTAACACTCAAACTTGGTGGAGGACCCTAGGACTTAAAGTCCTTAACACTCAAACTTGGTGGAGGACCCTAGTACTTAAAAGTACTTAACACTCAAAACTTGGTGGAGGACCCTAGGACTTAAAAGTCCTTAACACTCAAACTTGGTGGAGGACCCTAGTACTTAAAAGTACTTAACACTCAAAACTTGGTGGAGGACCCTAGGACTTATGAGTCCTTAACACTCACAAACCGGTGGAGTATCCAAGGATTATGATCCTAAAACTCATAGATTGTGATATACAAGTAGGGACAAGGAGGAGTCCTATACACTCATAGGTATATGGGTGGGTTGGGGTTTTTAGTCAAGAATATTGACTATTACTATTTTCCCGAATAAAATGGTGATCTACGGATCGGATATTTTCCCAGTATATATATACTAATAAGCATTTCATAACTTGGGGGAAAGATTATTTATTTAAGTATCACCCTATGTTTGGGTCTTATACTTGAAACGCTAGTTATTCTATATTTAGCCTGCTACTCGCTCGGTACTTGTACTGACCCCTTCGGGGGGCCCCACCATTTTCAGGTTGAAGCTAGAGCTAGCTACTTGCACCTTCTCACGGGTGATATCAAATCAGGGAGACGTGGTTCGTGCTTTCCTTATTTTCTTTCAAACTACCGAACACTTGCTCATGGATATTTGTTTTACTATAAACTATTGTTGGGGCTTGCATGCCCATGTTGTCGGCCGGTTGTGGCCCATGACTTACCGTTGAATACTTCCGTTATTCATTGGTTTAATGTGATGTTGTTATGTATGTTTACTACTGAGTATGGATGGATTGTTTTCTCGAACGCCTTGTGTAATTAAGTGAGGTTGACCCGTGGGTGACGTCACTTAGTTATACGGCGGTTGTACACGCGCTTGGATTGCGGTCTGGGGCGTGACAATTAAGTGGTATCAGAGCCATCTCAGTTCTAAACTATATAATCAACCTCTCACAAAAG